TTTTTTTAAAACAAATAGCACTGAAGCATTTGCACTGCATGATTTCATGGACAACAACTAACAACAATTAACAACAATTAACAATAAACCACTTATGATTTAAACCACTCACTGGAATCTCATCAGAGCCTAAAACAAATTTGATGAACTCTGCTTTGGTTCATATTACTGTATATTTACTGTTACGGGGGAACTAGTACTATGAATTATAAGCTGTACATATATTTAACATTTTACAGTATTTTTTATTTGCAAAACTAATAACATGACTTACATTCATAAACAGCCATGTGTCTAGCTGAACAACAAAAGTACAGATTAATGGGGCGGGTTTTGTGACCTGTGACAAAGAATCTAGCGCACGTAAAAAGACAGCCTATCTTGGGTTCCATTCAACATGCTGAGTTTAGTAAATGCCCGTGAACTGAGGGAATACTCACCAGCCGGGTGTTGACAACAGGGAAGAGCAACGCCAACAGGGCCCCATTCAGCATGTGAACCTGCAGCCTGATACCAAAGAAAAGAAGAACAGGTCAAGGTCAACCCAAACCACACAGCCACTACATGTTTTTAATGGCTTTTGGCCTCACTCACAGCCTCTGGTCATTAGGGGGTTTCCAGTATTACCTGTATATTGTTCACTCTCTGTCTATAATAGGGACTCCCATCTTGGATTCCAGTAGGATTTCTATGTCTGGTTAATTTGTCAACAGCTCAAGTATGAGAAATGCTCTTTTCCAGTCAAAGTATAATTAGATCAGTTAAACTATCCTCTTTGGTGAAGAGCTGTTGGTCCCCAAGGACCAAGCTGAGAACCAGTGGTGTACAGTTACAAGTCTAGTGTCAGAAATTTGGAATTACCTGTGGTCATAACTAAGTTCTTGTCAAGGACTTCTCAGAGCCCCTGCAACATCAGAACAAATTAATAGCTCAGGATAACACTTTATTGCTCTTTTTAAGTTCCATTCCATGTATAACATACTCACGGAGGCTAACCTATTGAGCTTAAATAGCAATTTGAAACCAACTTAAAGAACTAAACTCAAAACCTAACTGCTTTAACATACACACCTAAAAAGTAGATCAATTTGGATTCAGTTTCGATGTGTAGGTCAATATGAAATATGAAAAATGCAGTAATTTCTTCAGAAAGAAACTATTTAAATGCACTTTTTAGTTGTAAAAAGGTCCAAAAGTGACAGGTGATTTTAATTTCGACCTGCAATTAGTGACAAAATTAAGTTTTAAATTGATATGATCTCTGTTATGGCTTTCAAAATAGTATTTATTATTTTAATTTAAAAAAAACCTTCTAACAATAAATTTTGTCATATTTGTTACATTATTTTAAAGCATGTAGGTTATATCTCTTGGAAGGTAGTAAGAAAACTACTTCTGTTTCCCTGATCTCTAGTTATGCAAACATTACTCACTTCAAGCTTGTTATTAGGTTAGAAATATGACACCATCACTAGATGTGCAAGTGGAAATTTATATTTATATATTTATATTTACATTTCCAGAAAACACCACTCAGCAGATGTAAAACAGGGAGGAGCTGACACCACTTCCTAAGAGAATCTACCAGATTACACTGCCCTATGCACTGCCAAAGTAAAAGTCAGACATCAATACAAACAACAGACCTCTTAAAAGGATTAGAATAGCTGCATTACTTTTAATGAACAATTACCTGTTTCCCCTGCTGTTTCTGATTATTTTATTTTTTACCTTTGAACATGCTGTTTTCATGCCAAGCTTATGATTTTGTCCTTATTGAACTGACTGGAATGTTCTGTC